TTGGCTGCACTCACGGCTGCGCAGCGCAGCGTATAGATTTTTCCTCCTATGTGGACTCCAGACAGTCCCTCCTTCGATCGGCACGACTGTAAAATAGATTAAATTACACTTCATGCGGCTAGGATTCATGTTCTCCCTCCCTCTCTCTCTCTCTGTCCACCCCAGTTTTCTTTCCCTTTCACATAACTCTTCCTCTATCTCACACACTTTTGTACTCTAGTGGTAGAAAATTACATACAGTAAAAACCTGTAAGCAACAATGAAAGATGTATTACACTTGGAAGCTTTCAGCATTTTCAGCTGCCATTGCTTATGAAGACTGGTGCTGGTTTGGACAGAAGGTGGCCTTTTTTCATTACTGGTGTACACTGTTTCTATCCATGATACAGGTTCAATAGTAATATGATATTCTGATTATATTAGCAATAGTAAGTATCATTGTGGTCCAAAAAGGCTGGACAAAACTACTATGCTGTACTATTGCAATTGCGCCTTATCTTGCTATATATTAAAACACATTAAAACAAGCTTAAAGTGAAATTCTGTTGATTTTTCTAAATCTCTAAATGATTCAACAGAGGAGAGAAAGTCATTCAGAATGGTTTGATATGAAATTGTTAATTGTGGAGAAACATAATTCTTTACAGTGGTGGTGATAGTAACCAGGTGTCAATCTCTACAACACAGATATATCTGTTCTATTTACTGCACAAAACCTCCAGTGAACCTACACGTGTCTTCTGAGTTAAATGTAATACTAATATGGTAGTGTAGTGGTAAATTCAAAAATACAAGTCTTCTTTGGGTACTATGTTGCTTTTACATACCCTGCATATACTCCTCCTATATGTTATCTCAAAACATATGAAACAATGTCCAAAACAGGCAGGTATTCAGAAATGTTTTGTGTAATAATGTTCTGTAAGGGATCTTTTATAGGCATTAAATTCTTCAGAGGTCTGGTTCCTGTCACCAGTTCACACTCCAAATTACTGACCACTTTATTATGCAGAAATTTTGAGAAACTGGTGAAATTCTTCTATATCAATACTGCCAGGGATTATTTTAGCCAAAGCTATATATTACTGTTGCATAATATGTTGGTCTTCATTTGTCCAAGCTTTTGTGGAACATCTGACATTGTTTAGAACACTCAGAACATTGAAACTAGCTGGTGACACTTTATTTTGAGTGGTGCTTTATAGATGACATAAACACTCAACAGACTCTGAGTAACACATCAACAACATATCGATGATAGCAGCAGTGAATACGTTTAGTATATTATCAAGAGACTTGGAATGAACTGCGTAAATAAACTTTGTTTATAATCTACTGAATTCAGTTGTTTTCCATTTTATCTGTTACATGTAACAGGTCAAATACAGACCATCTTAACATACTCAACGGGCTGTTATAGACACACCGCTGATACCATTCTGTAACTGTACCTTAACTAGATTAGGCTTTGGTTAAGGTTAGGATTAGAATTAGGACCATCTTGAGGGTTAGTATTGGGTTTTGTCTTGAGGTTAAGGACTTGGTGAAGGTTAGGTTTTGGGTAAGTCTGAGTAAGTTTAGATTTTGCTTAAAGGAAATAACATAAAATCTACTACATGTAACAGATCAACAACACATCTACTTAATGTAAGTAATGTATCAACAGTACATCTTCAAGATATTTACTTCAGTGAATTCAGATGCTTCACTACAGCTACTTCACTGATATGTTGTTAATGTGTTACTGATACTCTGTTAAGAGTTTATTAATCATCTACAAAGGACCACATCAAATAAAGTGTTACCAAATAGCCTCATTGCAAATTGCAATATGAGTATTGCAAAAGCTATTATTGTGATAATGATTCAACAGCAATATATGGTGCAGCAAGTTATTGCATTTTTTGCAATTCCTTTATTATTATAAATAATCTGGCATTAAATGAATGATTGTTAGGTAATTGAGAGTATTTGCTGAAGGTTGTGATATTGTAGTATTATTTCCATTCCAGTTATTAGCTCAGTCTTTGTCTTATGAACCTGTTTGAAGCTTTGGTCCTTCACGATTTATATTTTTCGACGCTGTGTTCCTCGAAGCTTCTACTTCTTCCTTTTTTTTTCCGAAGGAAATATGTAAATGTGTGCTTCCAGCGTTAATTTGACTGATTTGATTGATTCTCACATCTTCAAAGTGCCTGTCTCGTAGTGTACGTCTGCAGCGTGACCTTTCAAGAAAAAAAAAATAAAAATGATGCAGTCTTTCATCTTCATCAGAAAACTAGGCAAACGGGGTTATGCGCTTTGTCTGTTGCTCAAGGAGATTTTTTTTTTCCTTCGCTTTAACTTTTCAACAACATCCCCTTCTCTGTTTTTCTCGTTCAGATTGGGTAAGCATGGCCAAGACTTTCATTTTGTCCAAAATCGCAGCCGTAGCAGAACACAACCTTAGTGCATTACATTATCTCCATGGCCAGTTTGAAAGAGATACTGTTTGTGCTAGTGAGCTGACCATGAAGGACGCTCACTAACGTCTATTTAATTGTCTGTCTGTGTGAAATCCATGTGGACAGAAACAACTGCACATCACACGCGCCTCCGTATCGGTTTCAGACACAAATTAAGATGCATGTTCATGATGTCGCTGAGGTGAAACGACTATGAAGTCATTGATGGGCAAATGAAAAAGTATGTTTCGCTGGACGACAGTCGGCGGTGTCTTGTTTCTTTTCTTCTGACATTGTTATTGTTACCATTTTGTTAACAGTGTTGAGAGTCAGACTTTGGATACTCACATTACGTTTTTATGGTAACGGGTAAGGTAACATGCTCATTTCTCAATGTCAATAAACCATTAAATACCCTTACTCATGGTGAAAGCATTACACACAGTACACTGATAACATTTTTCTTTCCAGGTAGTGTTGGTGATGTGCCTTGGGGAGCTCAGAATGCCATACCTTTTCAAATAATATGAGGACAATGTTCTCAAGAGTGGAAAATAATCTTTGCTTACGATTTTTATTGGCGTCTAAGGATATTTCCATAGCTAAATGAAGAAAAGTAGAATTTCCAGCCATGGATTGTTTTTACTTTTAACAGCTCGAGTATGTATCTTGTCCGAAAAGCTTATACAGCTCATTTGATAAAGACTAAATAGCTTATTTGATGGGCAGTAAGGAAAGTGAGAAGTGTTCTGAGTTACTTTTCCAGTCCTTGTAACTAGATAATGTAAAAAATGAAGTGAAAGGAAAACATAATCAGTGTTGATTTTGTGTCCTACTTCATTGTTTTTTCATCTTGTATTGAAGCAGTGGAGGTAGAGCTATAGCTTATTGCCAGGTGCAGAAGGATGAGTAAACATTACTGTAGTCAGTCTAGCATCTACCTATAAAGTAGATGTGGAACTGTGGAATTGTTGGGACATCTCAAAATGCATACTGTATATTGAAGTAACAGTGTTTTATCATTGGATTGTCTGTTGTTTACTTGGCAATTGGCATGTATTGTGATGGACGTAATCGTTGTGTTTATCTGTTCAGCAAACAAATTATATTCAAAAGATGTTATTCGGCAACATTTTATGCACTCAGAAAATGATGCTGAAAAGGATGCTTTGAAATGATGCTACCTTTGGTAACCTTAAGTTCCTGGTATTAACCAGATGAAATACAAGCTGCAAAGCAATTATTTGGGGTAACATGATGATAAATTCCAAGACAGCCTGGCTAAATTACTCTGAAATGCCCAGCAGGTTCTAAGTTTTAATTGGGTAAGTATGTGGTACAAACTCCACTGTACTGTGTATTTTTTGGGGGGTAAAAATACCAGGTAGATATATGTTGTACAGAGATTGCACACAAATAAAGTGCATAGAGTTTTATGTACCTGTCTGTTAGCTGTAAGTGATATTGAATCTGGGCTGTAAAAGAAAGCAAATATTCACTGGTTTGACTGAGACATTACAATTTACTTTACTTGTCTTTTTGTGCCAGTTCTACATCATTTTCAATTTACTTTCCTGCACAAATACATGATGTTGAAATTTATTGTGTTTGTACTTAACATCGTACTACTCCGAATAATAATGACGTATTGTACTACATCCTTTATCAGCTTAATATCTAGAACCTTTTAGTCAATTCAGTCTAGTTTAGTCTGGGTACTGACTATCATTTTACTCAACAATAATTCCACAGCACTTTGGAATTTGGACCACACACTAATTCACTTAATATCTAGAACCTGTTGAAGATTTCATTGTAAACTTTATTTACACACTTACTATCATGTAACCCAAAATTACCTAGTACTTTGGACTTTGTACCTCACACTTAATGAGGTTAATACCTAAACTTATGAGGACCGTAAAAGAAAATGCCACTGAATCTTTCAAAGAATGGTTCTTCAAAGATATTTGAGATGAAATGTGTGTGAAGAACCTTAATGTAAAGGTTCTAAACCAATTACAGGTTTTCATAGAACTGTACGTCCAAGCCAAAAACCATTTAAAACCCTCTTTTTTAGAGAATATGTGATCGAAAGGTGCACAGGCATGAATGTATGCTCTTTATCAGTTCTTTAGTAAAGGCAAAGGTTCAGTATGGAAACATGAACACTCAAAGAACCATTTCAATACATAAATGGTTCTTTGGATGGACAAATAGGTCTTCTCTATGATGAAAAATGTATATGGTTATTTAAAGAATGCTTTTTAAAATGGTTTTGGAAAGCACCAAAAGAGTTCCACTATTATTTTCAAAGAACCCTTTTTCAGTACTGTACATCTTAACAAATACTATTTAACAGATGTACAACAACATAGTATAATGTACCATGTACAATGAAGCAGTTGGAAAAAAGTCAAAGTGATCTGACAAAAAAAGACCTGACAGAACTGATTAGCTGGTGATTTGACAGTTTCAGATATACACTGTTCTGCTCTGATCACTGTTCTACAGTTCCACCTTCGCTAACCTCTGCGCCCGTGCTCTGTTTTGCAGCGTTCAGTCGAGCGGCGCTGCCGTTTGGCCTGGTTCGCAGAGAGCTGTCGTGCGAGGGTTACCCCATTGACCTTCGCTGCCCAGGGAGCGATGTCATTATGATCGAGACGGCAAACTACGGCCGCACGGACGACAAGATCTGTGACGCTGACCCTTTCCAGATGGAAAACATCAACTGCTACCTCCCAGATGCCTACAAAATCATATCTCAAAGGTAAAGGCTGCGTGCCAAGCATCACTCAGAGTGCAAATGTGGACTCCATTTCCTGACTTCAGATTTGTTCCTAGATAGAGCGTTATTCTGAACCTCTTTAAGTATGGCAGGGCTTTTTTTTCATTCGCTGGTAGTCAGTATGGTACTTGCTGCTAAGGGTAACGTAAACAAACCTGAATTCCGCTATTAAGGCTCACTCACTGATCACTAAAAGGTTCTTTCACCAGGTGCACCTGACCACATTCATTTCAAAGAATATATAGGGTAGGAAGCTTCCAGAACAGTCCTTAAGACATGTATAATAGAGGTAAAAATGAGAGCTGGGTGATTAACCAGGGAAACAAAATGAATGTCGTCCCAATTAGTGGAGTATATTGAGGTATTAGAGGCCTTTTGAGCTTCAGAGGTCACAGTTATTGCAGCTGATAATGAAAGTGTTGTGTAATTTGATATGAATTATTTCTCACTCGTGGCTTGGTGAACCAAGCAGAGAAATTCTGTTAAATGTGCAGATTGTAAGCTTTCAAATTCTACCACATTTGTGTTTGTAAGTAGAAGATGTGATATTTTATTATGGTTTGAGTTTGATGAAAAATTATCCTTGTGTTCTGTCTTGTTTCACAGAAAGAAAAAATAAGCCATACATTTTTTTGCTATGCGTTTGTCATCTGTTGACATTGAAACTAACAGAAGAAAGTCAGACATGCAGGCTTGAACCTGTAGACCTAGAATATACATTGAATACTATTGCTATTATTTACTATGTAATTATGTCATTAAATTTAAGTAATATGCAGTTTACTTATTGAATGTATAACAGAATTATTCTAGTTTTAGTAAAAGTTTGATTAGTGATGTTAACTAATGTTACAATAATTTAAATTAAATTTTAAGTCAGAAATGCAGACTCAAACCAGACAATGAAGATTTGAAAATCTAATTTATGTTGCATAACCATATAATTACAAATGTAGTTGCATAATTAAATTTGAATAGTATAGCAAAACAACAGCAATAACCCAAATTTAATTGCATAATAATATTTGAATATTAGGACAAAACAACATTAATGACGTTCAAGGGCTTTTTTCTAAGGGTTGACTAAACATTTCGTTAGTGAAGTTATAACAATTCAAAATCAATGTTATTTATATAGCAGTTTACACAACATTGTCCCAAATCAGCTTTACAGGAATGCATGTCAAAGTTTGTCATTTATTTACATCAAAACATACAGAAAAAGTTCAGAAGTGCAGACTCAAACCAGACAATACAGATTGTAAATTAAATTTACAGTGCGTACCTATGTAATTATCTATGTAATTACATAATTATAAAAGAAAATTAAAGTAAAACATTAATAACACTACCTGTTTTTTTTTCTAAAGGTTGACTAAACGTTTGATAAATAAAGTTATAACGATTCATATTCAATTTTATTCATATAGCAGTTTATTTTATTTTTGCAACATTGTTTCAAATCAGCTTTGAAGGAATGCAGGTCCAAGTTTTCCTTCATTTGTTTGCATCAAAACATACAGAGAAATTCAGAAGTGCAGACTAAAACTAGACAATACAGATTATATATCAAATTCATGTTGCATAACTTTGTAATTAACTATGTAATTACATAATTATATATGAATTTTGGCACAAAACAACATTAGTAACTCTAAGGAGTTTTTTAAGGTTTGACTAAATATCCAATTAGTAAAGTTGTAACTAATGCTATAATAATTCAAATTCAATTTTATTTGTATAGCAGTTTGCAACATTGTTTCAATTCAGCTTTACAGGAATGCAGGTCCATGTTTCTTTGTTAACATCAAAACAGCAGAAAAATTCAGACATGCAGATTCAAACCAGCAAATTCATACTGTAAATGGAATTTACACTGCATAACTATGTAATTATATATGTACATGCATGGTTAAATATGAATAGCAAAACAACAGCAATAACTCATACCTAACCAAAGGTGTACAGGTTCTACTGCTGTACATCTTTCTAAAAAAAATAGCTGGAATTCATCACTTTAACGTTAACTCTACATAGGACTCATGCAGCCGTTTCCTGAGCTATTTCCTTACAGATTGAAAAGCTGCTTTTCTTTGTTCAGAGCTGCGTTCTCAGCGGCAGTGGCACAGGCTGCAGCCCTGAGTAATGCTCTCCTCTCAAACCATTTATATTTGTGACACTTGTGCTTGCTCCTACTCTCTCAGGACATTCTTGTGTTGCTGCCAGACTACACACACACACACACACACACACACACATGCACACACACACTCACACACTCATGCACACATTCACAGCACTGGGAACTCTCTGCTGCTGCTAGCTGTGATGGTGTATATTTAAAGCACCCCAGATATTAACATTTCATAAGGCACGGCCGACGCTGCTCGTCTGGTGAAAAAGCAGTGCTAACCCGCAGTGTAGCTACTGCCTTCCGGTTAAAGCCCAATGCCATGAATTGTCTGATGCAGGCAAAGCCCCTATTTTAGGCCATAGTTAAACGCCTGGAAATGTGACATTGTAGCTGGTTTTTAGAGGACTTTGAGGAATAGACGCTTCCTTAATGCCTGGTTTTACATCCACAGCAAAAGATATATCAGATGATCTAGAACTGCAACTGTGTTCAGGCTAAAGCGGACCTGTTGATTATTAGGAAAAACATTAGCTGACCTGATTTTCAAGCTTTTCCTTTTCAAAGAAAAGACACATGCTTTTTGCATTTGCCATTGAGGATTAGCAGTTCCACCCCAGTCAGTACGCGTCTGTGAAACATTACCATACAATGAAGTCAGATGGACGTTTAACAGTCCCGCTCTTACATCAGTCCTTGGCATTAATATTCATTGCCTGTCCTTCTTAGAGGAGACAAATGAAAGCCTGTAAATGTGTGTCCTCTCATTGGTTGTTTCTTTGTTCAAATACTGTGTACCGTACATGTTCCCATGGGCAGTTTTAGGTTATAATTGACACTTTGTGGCAGCTCCACCCACTGTTGGTTTCGGAGGTTTCCGCTGCTCACAATTAAGCTCGTTTTTATTTTTTTTTCCTCAAGACTATGGAGCGTTTACTGACTTGGGAAAGACTTGAGGAGCGGGGCTATAACAACAGCAGTTTAATATAGTGGTAACAAAAGCAAGGTGTGATTTGGTGTTAATTATTCCTTAATCCTAGCTCAACAAGCAGAAGAATCAAGAGGGAAGTTTTGTAAGAAGTACACATTTTGAACTTTAAGTTGTGTTTGTACCTAGAAAACAATTTGACATAGAAAGCAGTTTGACAAGATGTTTTATGAAGTAAATGACATGTATCAAAATAAGGTGACTTAACCTTAAGCAACAGACTTTTGTTCAATTTATAACACTGTTATGATGCATCATTCGGAAGGAAAGGAACTTATAAGGTAGAGACTTACACAGCAAAAAACATTTTCAATGTCAGAGTAAAATTTAAGATATGAAATTTACATGTCCGTGCCTTTTTTAAAGGTTAAATACATGTAAAGACATACACATATTTTATTTTAACACTGTTGTATTCATTTACAAAAATAGAATGTTTTGGTCACCTTCATTTTACAGACATTTGGTTTATTTTAATGGTTGTTACTGTTATGTTTGTGGTAAAATACTGTATGTCAGAATAACTAGTTGTAATAGTAGTTATAGTAGTAATAGCAGCAGTAATAACTAGCGAAACTGTTAAATTCTTTACATCATGTCTCAAAACATAAATGTACATCACTTTTCAATGGCTTTTATGTCAGTACAATGTCTTTCACTTCATAATGCATCAAATGGCATCTAATTAATGATTAATGGCTTAAGCTGTTTATAAATACTCAAGTATTGCTTTATAAATGTGTTATACACTGCTTATGCATGTGTCAAATTCTAACACTCAAAAAACTTAATTCATTTATGCCAAACATTTTCATTCATCCAGATAGGCTTGAGCCTGTATACATAGACTTTCTTAGGTTAATATAAAGCTTAATTTTGTGTGGAACAAAATTGGAACAATTGGAGAAATTTATATGGGTTTCATTGGAATAAAATTTTCTTTGGAAATAAACATTTTTATTCATTTAAATGTACTGTCATTCATTTTTGTCCTTTTTATGAAAACCAGTTACTTAAAGACAACACAATTCACTGATTTAATGTCAACATATTTTCAATTTTGTCAGTCAAACAACCCCTCTGGTTATTTTTGAGTGTGCAAACTTACCCTTCAAAAAAACTGTTACTGGTATTTTATTATGATGGGAATTTGATGAAAAGGTATTGTTGTGTGGATTGTCTTTCAGAGATTATATCTTTTGTTTTTATCATTACTGACATCAGAACAAATGCTGTTTATTTTTAGTTATTTCTGTCATTTTGAATAGTAAAATAGTAAAAAAAAAAATAAAAACAAAAGTAATGTCTCTCAACTTGTAAGAGTTAAACTCAATCAAAGTTGGGTCTCAAATGAGGCTAGACAAGTTCGGAAGTTATGTTCGGCTGAAATAAAGCTGCACTTGAGAGAAAACCCTCTTTGTGCCCATAATTATTCGCTAATGCACTTTCATACCTCAAGTACATGAGGGACTCACCCTGATATCAATTTAGCCATTTAGAATAAGCCAGCTGTCTCATCCTATATGATTCCGCCACTTGACTCAGAGCTTCTGTGCGCACTGACATTGCCAGTGCCAAGGTCAGCACTCCGACTGCACGATGGTCATTCAGCATCTCTCCAAAGAGTCCTCCAACACAGACTGTTAGCCAACGCATGCTAACATAAAAAATAAGCTCCTCTTCAGCCGCCGCGCCGTCTCATCTGGCTTAAGTGCCTTCCTGTCGCCCACTTTCAGCATGTCATTGGTGACATAAGGGGAAATGAAATCGGCGATGGAAACAAATTAACGTAGACATATTTTTTGTGTCGCATCGTGATTTCGGAAGAGCGAGTCCTCTGGGCTTAGTTAGCCCCTCTCCTCTGTTTTATCTTTCCCCTCAGAATAACTTGAAGTTCTGGCCCTGGGCGAGGGATAATGAAATTTCTCTTAATTAATATTTTCAGTATGGAGCTCTTGGGTAGCCCAAAGCCACAATCGTCTCACAACCAGCATCCTGTACGTGAGAGAGCATGGAACAGATCAGCATGCCCCTTTAGATGATATGCCAGATGATGCAAGAAAGAGGCAACTTTTTTTTTTTTTAAGGGCAGAGAAGATGACACACTGTAATAAAGGGTTATGTTAAGATCCAAACACTTTTTTTGCCAGACACAAAACAAGCGAAGATGTTTGGGGAAAGGTCATTGAAGTGGTTGCGCAGTAGAAGACAGACTTGGAATTTAAAGGCGTTCTTGCATGTGGGTTGGGAGAAAACTGGTCGGCTTTGCTTGTGTAATTAAGACACCACAGTAGGCGCTTAACTATAAGGCCCTGTTGCTGCTGAGCCTTTGTCAGCAGTCACTTTACAGAAAAGATAAAAAAGTGCTAGTTAAAGTTTTGTTGACAAGTTTATGGAGCTGTTTAACAAGTCTCATTTCCATTTCCCATTAACTCTTTTGAAGAACGGCGTCATGCCATAAACCTTAAGTGTCACAGTTAACATAGGTGGTGAGAAATGCGTGCTGATTTTATATGCAAATTATTTCTCACCTATAGCTCATCGAAACAAGTGGAGAGGCTCTGTCAAAAGTGCGGACATTGCAGTTGAAGCCACAGTACAATGTTAATGGTAAAATTGTACTTTGCAGTTATTTTCAGTCTGCTTATTTTACAAAAACTAATATTTTAGAAGTTTTCAGAGAGTAGACTTAACTTAAAATTAATCAGAAAGCGCCAGACACTGGCTCATCTGGCTTAAATGCCACGGCACCAAGCTGAACGTTCCTGTGCATTGGCTAGGTACAGTAAAAAAGGGTTCCATGTTTTGAAAAATTTTCGAAGACTACCAGAAAGCTCATATCTGAGCCTTCCAATATACAGCATATTCACAACCTCTTTGAGATACATTTTAAACCTAGGTGAGGTGTCTGATTTCCATAACCTTGAAATGATCTTCTTAGCAAATATCATATGTGTCAGCTGTTTGTATACAGTTATCAAGGTACTGGAATGTCATTGAAAAGTCAAACAGAGCAATTTCTCAGTCAGGGGATATTCTAAGATTATACACCCTTGGTTTGGGTAACGTCCGAATATAAATCACACCAGTAATTGTCAAGTTTTGGACACACCCAAAAAAGGGTTGGGAGAAAACCGATCAAAAAGGAACAAAAAATGCTACATGCTACATAAAAATGAGAATAAAATCATATATTTTTATGTAAACACAACACGTTTCAAGATTAACATAGAATGTAAATTGAATTTAAGTATAATTGATTGTGTCTAACCATGTAATTGATTATGTGGTTATATGACTATATTATAATTATGTCATATAAATGGAATTTACAGCAAAATGACAGTAACAACTCTAGACATCTAAAGGCTGACTAAATATTCCATGTGACATTACAACTTAAGTACATTCAGTACAGTTTCATTTACACATGACTTTTTACTACAAGTCAAAACTCTAAGAGCATGAGGAAGAACCACTGAGAGGAACCAGGAGTCAAAAGGGGAACCTCCCTAAGAGCATGTGAGAGAACCACTGAGAGGAACCAAGAATCAAATAGAGAAACTCTCTAGAAGACAAAAGACTGAGAGGAACCAAGAGTTAAAAGGAGAAACTCTCTAAAAGCATGAAGAAGAAACATTGACAGATACCAAGACTCAAAAGGAGAAACTCCCTAAGAGAGAAAACACTGAGGGGAACCAAGAGTCCAAAGGAAAACCCATCCTTCATCTAACACCAGATAATGAAGTTATGATACAAGTTTTACAGAGACATTACAGTCATACAGCAGATCCACAAGAGCTACCGATTATTGTTAAAAGTCATTCAAACAGGATGTTGGATATGAAGACTTTGTTGGTAAGGGCTTCAGTATGAGTGTTGGGCAGGATTACAATTTCCATTCTATAATAGTGACACTCAGTCATCTTCTAACAGCATCTGACAATCCAGCTCTCGGCACAATGTGTTTCCTGTGAAAGATTCTATACTTTTGGACGTGATCTCTTCTTTCTGACATTTATGGCACGTTTCCATTTGTCAAAGATACTCGTGTCTGTTCTGAGTAACTGCAAGAGCCACGCAAAGCTAAGGCACAGGCTTCTTCGTGCAGGCCCTCACAAAGCCTTTAAAATTCCCAAATATGTGCTTTCAAAACTGCAAAGTGCCAAGTTCTGCTCTGCACACTGTAAGATGGTGCACATGTGAAATAATTGCTTACTGTGGCTGTTTCACAGTATTATGTTCTGTATTTTGTTATAGGCTGAGCAATACAGCAAGAATTTATTTCTCTTATCGCTGCCCCACAACATGCATAAGCAAAATAGTTCCAACTGTGAGATAATCTTAGCCCACATGGTTTTCTCATCAAGTTGTCCGGTCTTAAATATTAATAAATGGCCGGAAGACGAGCGTGAGTGCATGTTTTTATAAATATTTAGGGCTTGCTGTTGTGGTAAATTACTGAATAGAGACGCAGCCACCCAATCATTGAAATGCGTGACTGGGCCAAACAACATGATGCCCTCCGTCTGATAAATACTGTAGCAATTTGGGTGAAAAAGACAGAAGCCGTCATTTAAGGTGTCCTTTTCCGGGATGCGTTTTTCACAAGATGACTTTGCTTTCCGTCTCCTGAAATATTTACAACCACTGATTGTCGAGAGGCACCGTTTTCCCTTCGTTTTTTACCAGAATGTCTGCCTTGTTTGCTTCCATTGTGTCACCAATCCCTCTGCATATAGAAGGCCTGATTGAAGTTTGGCTAATTTCATCATTTATTTACTCAAATTCATCCCATTATTCGCTCACATAGGTACGCACGTGCATGCTAACACGCAAACCCTTGTGTACACGCCCCCATTTTAATTCATGAAGATGTCTAACTTCATAGTCAAGGTCACTGCAAACTGTAAAGGAGCGAAATCTCCCAGCAGTCGCGCACAAGTGCACAAATTATTCTTGTTCGAAATACTTAAGGTGATTTATTCCGCCGAGAGCACAACAGACGAATGCATGATGAGTCGCGCGTCTTGAGAGGCGCAGCTGAATTTTTAAAGTTCACATACCGACAGTCACTCTGCCTCTTTGTCAATCAGTGTCTCTTCACTTAAGCTATTAAAGATTCCCAAAGGAGCAGCAATCTTACTTGCTGCACCTTAAAAAAAAGGCAGATCCATTTTGATCTGACAGTTCTTTGTGGAGACGGGGTAAAGGTGGTAAAAATGTACCAGGCTAATTTCGCTTGAAAAGTAAAGGAACCTGCCCCCTGTGCTGCTGTTGGAAATCTTGACTTTCGTTTAAATAACTGTTAAAAGGTAACAACGTTCTATAGACAAACCTTTGTCATATATTTTGCAATGTCATTGTTAAATATGGCTTCATGCTCTGCTTACACTTTACACATTCCACACATTTTTCTGTTTTTCTTGCTTTCCAGAAGTTTAACATCCTTGACCTTATTTTGTTGAGGATTGAGTTTGTAGTTTTGCACTTGCTGCTTTTTCATTCTTAGAACTACTTCACTCTCGCAAAGAAAGGGGTTCTTCAAGGGTTCTTTAGTAAGGCAATAGTTATTTATAGAACTGGGACAACTCAAGCAATCATTTGAATGGATACATGGTTCTTTGATAAATGATAAAAATAAACCTGTTGCATACTGTTCTTTAAGCAACCTTTTAAAATGCTTCTATGTAGCAGTAAAATGGGCCAAAGAACTTTTCTTTGGTACTATTGAGAACCCTTTTTGCTAAAAAAAAAAAAGTGTACTCTACAGTTATTATCGTTGTCTTGCTATGTAATTTTAATGTAATATGTAATTACATAGTAATTACATAGTTATGTAACCACAAGTCCTTTTTTCTGTCTGTTTTGAGTATAAAAGATAATAAGACAATGAAAATATTCCATCAAATTCAAATCATAATAAAATCTCTACTTACAAACAAAGTATCAATTGAAAGTTTGGAATCTGCACTTTCAACAGAGTTTCTACTTCTTTCAATAAACTGCGAGTCTGAAATATATAACATAAAATTCAACATGCTTTTATTATGGCCTGCAATAACTGTGACCTCCAAAGTTCAATCTTGGCCTCTCAGCTCTCATTTCCTTACACTGACACAGATTTGGTAGTATGTTTGTGTGGTGATGAGAGCCTCAGAGCTCTGTACTAACTCTCTGGCTCCTGATCTTGGTCTGTTTTGCAGATGTAACAACCGGACGCAATGCGTCGTTATCACCGGCTCCGAAGTCTTTCCAGATCCTTGTCCTGGGACGTACAAGTACCTAGAGGTCCAATATGAGTGTGTTCCATATAGTAAGTAGTTCTTCATTGTCTTTTTAAGCCACAAGTTAAAGTCATTTAGTCTGTTTCCGTCTTGAAGCAGTACAGTGAGCTGTATAAAGTACAACAGTATGAACTGATTAAACGTCACTGAGCTGATTTTTATTTTAACAATAACAAAACTGTGAGTTGGTTCGATGAGCATCAACTGCGCACCAAATAACCACTTTTCTGTCCCTTCTGCAAACCTGCCACAAGTTTCTGTAGAACATGGCTGCTTCAAAATGAATTTCTGAACATTTTTGCATTTTGACTGCAGTTACTTTTCCGCGATCTGGCAGCTTCAGCTACTGATGCCTCACTATTGATTTTTTTGTCTGTGCATATACAGTAGATCCTTCTCAGCAGCAGAAGTGGAGAAATATGTGAGCATTTAAAACCCCACCCCTTCACATCTGGACTATAGCTTAGAAAATGGGGCCTAACTTCAGTTTTAGGAAGGAGGAAAATGTTCGACTATGATTTACCCCAAAAACAGCAGTGCACTTTCACTGAATCTGATGCATTATGGAAGGGGCTGATTTAAGGAATCATGCAGCCAGTTTTAGTCTGTTTTAGGGTAGTCTGATGCCAGAGAAAAATGTGCGCTCATTAATAATCTGTGTCAAAATATGCCATGTGTGATGAATGATGTTAATGTGGCGTTACATGGGTAGTGTTGTTGAAGCTGCTACAACAATGTAGTTAACTAAGCTACCAGTTACTCCTCATTAAATTCTAGAGATTTTCCTCAGTAAAGTCTATTACAAGACAGGCTAACAGAAGTCAGTAACATTAAAACTACTCAAAAATGGGTTACTTTCAAGAGAAACATTCATTACTGAGTACATCTAGGTTTTCCCTCTTTGACTAAATGATGCAAAAAGTTCACTCACATAAATGGAAGTTTGACTCTTTGAAACTTAGTACACTACTGCTGTTAGTAGAAATAAGAGCAAAACATATAATTGCCGTCTCATTTTGGGGGGTTTAAATTGTGCATGTTTTTGCCAATTTACACTTTTTTCAAATTGTTTTCAATTTGAAAGACACATTTCATTGGTATGAATGCACGGTGTGTGTCTTGCGCTACTGTGTTTTCCAGGCACCCAAAATTGAAAGAAAATTCAAAGTGGTCAGTTAGCCTGCCACCCCCGACATCAGTCTTTCTGTGTTGACCAGTCAGATAAAAAGCAGTCCTGGCTGAAACATTCATTATAACTTCAGTGTTAATGGGCAGAACTAAACATCTGTAGGCCAAGTAGGTAAATAGACATAAATGTGTTGGTTCTCATGGCCTCCCAAAAATACTGAATTCCTGTTAGGCTTTTTTTTTAATCTCAGTTTTCAGAAACAGTTGAATGCAAAAGTTTGGGTAACACTTTATGTGGATGGTCCTCTGTAGATGCTTTGTAAATGCTCTGTATATGTTTAAGTAACATTCAAGTAAATATCCATTAAATGCAGGTGAACTTTAAGTAATGATAATGTTGTTGAAAATCAACTGAATATCACCAGAAAGTTTGTTAATAATTGAAATATATATTGAGCATCTATAGGGGACCATCCAAATAAAATGTGACTAAAGTTTGAACACCCAAGGTCAAATCACATGTTTTGTGGATTTTCTAAATAAAAATAAGTCTACACATCCTCTACAGAGGACATACTTGAATGTGGCATTTTTCTTCAAATTTATTGCACAATTTCTATTTTTTGGAAAATATATCAGGAAAAATACAACATAAAATGTAATTTTATGTTTTTCCCCCATATGTTGAATTCAGCAAATAAACAGTGATTTAACACTAAAATGTGCAGAAATGTGTCTTTATAGAGGATGTACAACAAATCATTTGAGCAGGGTTGTTCAAACTTTTGCATTTAACTGTTGAAAGATTGCTCACCAGCATAGCGTATTGAATGTTATTACACTGTTTTTGCTTTCAGCATTCAGAAGAAAACCCAATGTGATCTCCCTTATTAAATTCAAATGTTATTCCAAAAGTGGTTTGGATCAAGCCACATAGATGCAACAAAAACAATACATACATACATACATACATCATCTAAACTGCTTATCCTTCTGGGTCGCGGTGGGGTGCGATGGACTGGCGACCTGTCCAGGGTGTATTCTGCCTTCTGCCCAATGACAGCTGGGATAGGCTCCAGCACCCACAAAAACAATACTGCTTTAAAAATACATTATAGTGCAGTTAAGCACCCACAAACTGAGGAAAACTGGAAGCTTAGTTACTTTTAACTCACTAATCATCTGAGTGTTTTTTTCATTAGTATTCGCTTTGTGATTTAGAACAATTCCATGTTTGCAGCTGTCCTTTATGAAGATGGCGCCCTGCAGCATCCAAAAAGCCAAGTCTACTGCGTCATCTCCTCATTAATCTCTTCTCCAGACATGCTCTTTTTCACTCACATTTGGCTCTTTAAACCCTTTAGTTTTTCAGCACTGGCGCTGAATCGGAGCACATGGTCTACTGCATTTTGCCGGTGAATAGAGGTTATGAAAAAGCCTTTATGTATGGCTATGGTCATCAGCTATATCTCCAGTTCAATTGATTTTTGTCAAGAAAGAACACTTTTCCCTTCAGAAAAGTCGTCGGCAAAGAGAGACGTATTATAGAAGAAGCTGTCAAGGTTCTTTGCGAGCTAAAATGACTGCTTTTCTCTTTGCTGTGTGCTACCTTGAATGTTTATTGAAAGCGGTCTGACAGTCCACTTGTAGAGTTTTGTTCTGGCCAGAAAATGCTTGGGCTCTGCTTATCAAAACTGATTGCAAACATCAGCCATCTGTGTTCTTTGGTTTTTTTACTCACTATTCTCTCAGACGAACGGAAAAAAGTAATTCTATGTGTGAATTTTTCTTTGCGATTTTTTAAAGCAGTCAACATTACATTCAAATAACATCAACCCTGCTAACCTTCAAGAACGGTTACATAATTAATCTTTATATTTTGTTTGTTTCTCTCTCTCTCTCTGTCTCTCTCTCTCTCTCTCTCTTTCATTAATGATTAACACCTTTTCTTTGTGCTTAGGAATGAACTGATGTTCATAGCAACATCAAACATCATTCATAAACAGCGGTTCTCAAACACTATTTTTATCACAAATTATTCATTTAGGATGGGATAGTAGCACCAATATTAAGCCTTTCAAGTCTGCAGTTATTTTGCTATGCTTTGTAATGGTAATTACAGTGTTGTGCACAAGTCAGACACCACCCTTCATTTATTTAATTTTCAGTCAAAACAGCCAAGTTAATCATTTTCAAGGGATATAGTCAAAAGAAAATAAATAAAAACTGGAGCTCAAAAATGATCAAAACCTATAGAAATAATTGGAAAAAATGCAAACCAAACAAAGAACTGGTTTTCTTAGAACACTGGGCCTCATTCACCAATATCTTCATAAAACTTTGCTTAAACGTGTTTTTGAGAAAAGTCCTAAGAAAATGTTTACATCAGATTCACAACGTGTTCAGATTCACCACTTTGTTTGCACCTTTGTGCTCTTGAGTGTGTGTGTGGATTACTTAAGAACAATTCCTAAATAAGAAAACATTGATGAATGTCAGAATCTTCGTGAAGTGGGTTTTAAGAAAAACTTTCTTCTTAAGAACGCTTGGTGAATGAGACCCAATAAACTGACCATCCCAGAGTCCAGACCTCAACATCATTGAAAGTGTTGGGGATTATTCAGATCGTCGTGAGCAGCAGAAATTTCAGCCAACTTCTAAGGCTGCATTTACACTGGTCCTGTACATCGACAGATGTGAATGCATCCTCCCCCTTTAGTTGGCTGCATCTGTGCAAGTCAGCATTAATGCAAATAATGCTTTTATTCATTGCTTTAGTAATCAGAAAGTAAGTGTAGTAAGCATCACTTTACTAGTATTTTACAAAATGTTAAAAAAAAGTTATGCTTTCAGCTGCAGATAGAAAACCCCAGCTGGCTCCCGATTGGGTAGATGTGTCATGTTGGCTGGATTCATTTTCATGAAGTTCAGCTCTGCTCAATTTTTTGCACCCTTGCAGCTGCATCTGGTGGAACCGATGTTACCCACTGAAAAAGAATAGGATACATGTGGTGCATTGACTTGCCAGAGGAATGAAGCACAATGCAAAGATACAAAATATAAAATATCCCAGCAGATTTATTTAAAAAAAAGTTTTAGGCTTCTGTTTAATTTTCTGTTAAATATATGTTTTCTGTTTTTTTATGACCCTGAAACATGACAACTGGACTGGACTGGGCCGGAAATTGAATAAGTGAAAGATGGCCTCTGACTTTTGCACAGTAGTGTATATAATTTCATTAATAATAATAATAATAACAATTCTTATAAAATTAATTAATCCCAGCTTTTCCCAGATTTAGTCAATCACCCAAGACATGTTTGGTGTCTGAAGTTTTCTTAATTTGCCCTACATACAAGGCTAATGTAGTTAACAGCTGTCAGCACAGGCTCACTTATGTGGTTTCTGACACTATAGACAAACAGTGTCTGCCACCACATGGGCTGTACATAAGTCTACTTGAGGTTACTTAACAATCATCGCATTGAAAAAACGATGTTCCATGTCTTATAGCAGTACATGACCAACGGCAGCCTGCTGGTATGGAGCGTTGCCATAGTGACAGCATCATTGTTGAAAATAAATGATTATCAGAGGAGAGCTTAAGCAGCTTAAGCTGATTGTTTATTTAAGGTGGAAAAAGGCAGAAGCATGAGGTGCGCTTGAAATTCAACAGTGAGACTTCCAGCATTCATGGCTCCCGGAGTAATCTACATCCGGTTTATTCCAACTCTTAATGGAACATTCCGTTGATGGCTATGGTGTGCTGCCATTGCTGCTGGTGGCGGAATTTTCCATTGCTGCTCCAGTGAAATCAATGGAATATCTGATTTGCCATCTACCACCATAATATAAATGCATCATTACACGTGGCTAAAGTCTTGTAATTTAGCGAAGCAAACTTTGAACACCAAACATATTGGCTACAACTGGGTTAAGAAGAAGCTGGTGTAGACTTGAATTCTTGTCAGTCGGTCGATTTAATTACGTAGTTAATTACGTGATGAATTTCATTTCAATTCAGGTTCAAGTGTGTTTTCATTCTCTGTTTTATAATTAACTCATTTTGAAACTGGACAGTCCACAGTTTGGGAACCACTGCTCTCCAAGCACTGTAGCTTTGAGTGTATGACTAGATTTTGTCCTTCAGTGCATTTCTCTATGTATATAAATCTATCTGTGGACACTCTCTCTTATGTCCTCGCTCTAACTCTCTCTGTATAGATACACTGTACCTGTACCTTTTCTCTTTGACTCATGCTAATCTTTCTCTCCCTTGACACTCTTTCCACTTTTTTTCACTGCTCAATAGAAGTGGAGCAAAAAGGTAAATGACTGCTCTGGTTTTCGGTCCTCAGCTCCTTGTTCTGTGTTGTTTGGTTCTGAGCCTTCCACCCAGACCCTGCCCCTTTGCCCTCCCTGCCCTCCTGAACCCCCCCCCACCCCCTCGCCCCTGCTCCCGCCTTCCCTTATCCCCACATGATATCCAATATCCAGATCCTGAGATCTGCACGATCTCTGCCTCATTGACTCCAAATGAAATTACACTGAGCGTTCTTTTGGACAAGAAATCTCATCGTAATCAACGTCTTCACATTACTTTATCTTAGATATGCTTTGGTCTCACCGTGTCCAACTTGAAGTTCCTGGAGAAACTCTTGAGGCTTATAAGATTGCACAAAATCCATCATTTTTTTTTTTTCCAAAAATATAACTTCAGTACACAAGCATTTTTTTTCACTGTGATTACTCCATATACACTGCAAAAAATATATCTTGGCATGTGAAAGCATCTGACATTTAGGCAATATATCAAATATCTCTCATTATGAAGTTGTTGAAATTGTATTTCTAGATTCAAGTGGAATGGTCTCACTGCACTGCCAGATAATTTCACTTCCTTCAAAGATTATTTCTTAAAGTAAGTTAGATGATTTCACTTGATAAAATTACTAAACCAAGTCAAAATGTTTTGAAATAGATTGAATAATCTGTAAAAGCCTATTCCCACCAAGCAGAGGAGATTAAAATCACAGTTTTTCTTGTTCTCTGACTGTGACAGCAGTATTTCAAAATGTTGAAAAATCTTTATTTATTTTATCAAAATACTGACTTAATATCTTGAAATAATAACTTCTACAAAATTTTAACTTGTGGAAATAATGACTCATTTTCTCATATAATAAATCCTGAGATTGAGTTTAATAGTTAAGACTAAGATTAAGAGTTATTAAGATGTAATTCTGACATACTATGTCAAAATAATGAGCTAATTTTTTTTAGGAAATAATTATTTTTGACAGAGTAAGTCAGCATGTCAAGAAAGCAAGTCATTATTTTGAAATGTCAAAATGTTGAGAAAGTAAGTCTTCATTTCGAAACAGAAAGTCTCTTTATTTGAGAAGTTAAGTATTTATTTTGACATATCAAGTTGATATTTCAAGAAAACAAGTCATTGAGATGCTGCCAAAAACAGATAAGGCATGTTTTCTTTAGCCTGTGCCTGGTGGAAATGGGACTCTTAAAACACTCTCACAATGAGAAATATTAGATACATGTTAGATATATTAATTAGATGTTCTCACATGCCAGTATATCATTTTCTGCAGTGTACAATAAATTCTGGCTTGTCTATTTGGCTTTATTCCAACCGCCTGCCATGACACATCTTTGCCCACATGGTTGGTGATGGGCGAGAGAGGCCGCTGATTATTTTAGTCATCTGCATGTGATATGCTGTCCACCACAGAATGCACATACATTGCGTCAACGGCCGAGGGCCCAGAGATGGACGTGTTGTTTTATCTTTGGCAAGGCCTCCCTCACCCATTATCTTTTTAAAGTGATGCCAGTCCAGTCGCTTCTCTCTCCCTCTCTCTCTCTCTCTCTCTCTCTCTCTCTCTCCCTCTCTCTCTCTCACTCTCTCCCTCTCCCACTGTCTGTCATCCTATCTGTCCTGAGCAGCATTGACATTCTGCTCCACCGTCCTTCTCCTGCCTCTTCCCTCCTATCGCGTGTCATGTGTGTTGTTTGTTCTTTCCTCAGACATAATTCATGTATTTGTGTGTGTTTTATTTTCAAAGGTATGGCTTTTGCGCTGCTGGTAGAACCCTATATCCTAACCCCCCCACCAAGTTATCCAATACCAAGTACAGCTGGACAGTAAAAATAAGTAAAGAACGCCTACTTAGGGAGCAAGGCCGAAAGTCATCTCTGTCGTCTCCTTTCATTTGCAGGGGCTTCTTTTGTTGTTTGTTTGGTCCCCTTTTCCCTTTTTCAGTTACACTCGTGTTAAGCCATCTCAGGGAGCAAGGCCATAGCACACTCAGTCCACAGAAACTGGCCCTCGCTTTAACCTACTGAATTTCCTCTCAACTATGCATGCCTCACCTGATTCTAAACAGACAAAAATGAGTTTATGATGCTAAAGCCTCTGTAATCCATGTTTACAAGTGGCCACCATCTGCTCCTGGAGATGTATCTTACTGCGGTTTCACTTCTAGCCCAAGCCTAACATTCACCTACTCTTCAGAAGCTACTCTTCAGTTCTGGTATACTGTTCCAACTTAATTATGTTATTATACTTTAATGACATAGTTAATTATACACTAAATTGCGTTCGGTTTGCATCCCATATAAGGTTAACATTGGCATTTACATTTTTTCTCCATTTTTTAATGTCAAAAAAGACAAAAAAAATTGCAAAAATTGGTAATAACATATTTCCTCTTCTACCACGAAACACAAACGCGATATTGATTGAAAGTTTAGCATCAACACTTCTAACGGGATTTTGCTGTTTGTTTCAATGAGCTACGAATAAGAAATAATAAGTATTGAATTACACCATGCACTTTTTTGCCAGTGATAACTGTGATTTCTAAAGGTTAATCAAATACTTATGAAGGCTTATGTAGAATCGTTTGTTGGATCAGATGTGGTGGATTAAGACTGGAGATAAATATACATCTCCAGGAGCAGGGTTGGAGACCATTGTCTCACACACACACACACACAGACACCCACACACACACATCTCGGAGTCAAAGAATACCCGTAGAGAAAATCAATATAGAGTTCAGGAACATTTGCATTTCTAACCCTGTGTCTCGCTTTCCTGCCTTTGTTTCAGTTTTCATTTGCCCCGGGACACTGAAAGCAGTGGGGGAGCCCGCCTTCGTGTTCGAGGCAGAGCAGCAAGCGGGCGCCTGGTGCAAAGACCCCCTGCAGGCAGGCGACAAGATCTATTTCATGCCCTGGACCCCGTACCGCACGGACACCCTGATAGAGTACAGCTCTCTGGATGATTTCCGGAATGGCCGGCAGACGACCACATACAAGCTCCCTCACAGAGTGGACGGCACGGGCTTCGTGGCCTACGATGGCGCCGTCTTCTTCAACAAGGAGCGTACCAGGAACATTGTCAAGTTCGACCTGCGCACGCGCATCAAGAGCGGAGAGGCCATCGTGGCCAACGCTAACTACCACGATACCTCACCCTACCGCTGGGGAGGCAAGACAGACATTGACCTGGCGGTGGACGAGCGGGGGCTGTGGGTCATCTATGCCACCGAACAGAACAACGGCCGCATCGTCTTGAGTCAGCTGAACCCCTACACACTGCGCTTCGAGGCCACCTGGGAGACGACCTATGACAAGCGCTCGGCCTCCAACGCCTTCATGGTGTGTGGCGTGCTGCATGTGGTGCGGTCTACCTACGAGGAGAACGAGAGCGAGGCGGGCCGCAGCCACATCGACTACATCTACAACACCCGATTGGGCCAAGGGGAGCGCGCCGATATCCCCTTCCCCAACCAGTACCAGTACATTGCCGCCGTGGATTACAACCCGCGGGACAACCAGCTCTATGTGTGGAATAACTTTTTCGTCCTGAGATACGACCTGGAGTTTGGGCCACCTGACCCCGACGAAGGTAAGGCAGTCTTTGATTTATGGGACATCATCTCTGTCAACACGAAAGTCCGATTTTCTTTTCAAAACAGTTTCAAATCAGACCTCATCAAGGCTAAACTCACATTGTAGGCTTAAAGTGGTGCAAATCTGATTGTTTTGCCTAAATAAGACAGATCTGATTTTTTCATAGCTGTGTGAACACATAAATCTGATCTATTTCAATCAGATTTGAACCACTTTGGATGTGTTAAATTTCTTTGGCTTTCTTGCTCAATTGCGATTTTTTAAATCTATCCGCATATTTCATCATAAGTTAGCTGCTGCTGATATTAAATGATGACGACAATTATATACATGCACACTGAAGCGTGATGGTAAAAAAAACTCCTGAAATCATTTGAATGTGCTCAGTATGTAACTGCTTGATAGGATATGTGATATACATAGGAGCAGCATATATGAAAGTTGCTTAATTCTGATTTAAAGAGAATTTTGTGTTCACACAGCTCTGAAAGAATGTTGGTTTTAGGTTTGAAGTGGCTCAAGCTATTATCCTAATATGACAAGTATGAGCCACTTATATATAGAGTCATACATCAGATACATGTAAGATATGTGTTCATTATGAAAATGGTCAGGCTGGATTTTTTTTCATGTCAGCAATCATACATATAATATTATTGATTTGGAAAGTGTGCACATGTGAGTCCTATCAATAACAGACGTGTAATTTAGAAACATTAAAGTAAATTGTCAGGGCATAAAGACTGAATCTGAGCGAAAAATCAGAATTGAGCAATAAGGCTTGTTATGTGAACGCAGACCATGTTTGGACTTGCACTTGTACTTTTCAAGTGTGTACGCAAGTGTGAGCCTGTGCTGATTGTGCTTGAAGTGCAGGATATGTCAAAGATGACTGGGCTTTCATTTAGAATTGTGATACAAGTGCGACGTGGAGGAGATGTGGTCAGTACCGGTCCTCCGGAGAGGGTCCACTTGTAAACAAAAATGACAGACTTAAGAAACATAAGACATGGGCTGATTTCCACTGCTGTTATGAGCCGGGTCGCCCGCGAAGGGTGATTATCAGTGAGAAGAGCTGTGAGCTGGACGGCTTCACTCATAAAGAGGCTCCGACCTCATCAAGTGTCTAATCTCGGGGCCCTGCGCCCATCTATTATGAGCACGGCCCTGTTAACCTTCCCTTGGCTCTCATGCGGCCCGTTGCGATGTGAAATATGCTATCGCTATCTTGTGCAAATGCGCCGGGGGGCTAGAGATGACCGTCCCTCTCCTCCGGCTCTTTAACGGATTGTGATGCCCGTTGCCATGGCTACCTCATCAGCTGCTTGGGCGAATACAATTCGAAAGAGATTTGGACAATCCCCGACATCATTTGGCAAGTGCGAAAGGCAAACATATAGCCTGCGCCCGGCAAGGCCCACAAATCAGCGGCGGTGACAAGGTTGGAGGGATGACTGCGCGGTGAAGAAGAGCTCAATTATCGAGGGCCATTTGTTAGATGGATTTGAAATTCACCTCTTAAGAGCTGAGAGGAGCCAGATGTGTCACCAGACAGCGCTCCTCTATCAGCGGGATAATAGGCATAATTACCCAGCCACTCCTTCCCCTTCCAAAGCAGTAAACCCTGGCAGCCGCTTTCACTGCCGTCCACTCTGCCCCAGGGGCAGCATTACACTTCTCAAAAGTGGCAACCTTTCCGTGCATACATGCCAATATTACTCAAAGAACAGCAGTGTGCCGAAGAAGGCATGTCATGCAAATAACCTATTCCCTCATTTCATGTCAAATCAGTGAGCCCTGGAAACTACTGAATTAGGCCTTTGAACATTTGTAACACTAGTACAACTAAGGTTGGGGCAAATTTAAGTCATGGTTATAAAGCTATTGAGCGTTTAAAGGAAACATCTATAAAGAAAATAGCCAACATTTGCTGTCAGAGATTTACATACACCCAGCATACATTCTCAAGAGTGCTTTCGTCTCCAAGCTCCTTTACAGGTATCGCCCCTTTCTTCATGATTTGATGTGGAATTATGCTGTTTTGAATGGGCAGCCTACCCAGGCAATTCCGTCAAATGATGCATTCAGTTTCCACTGAAAATGTTAACTAACACGTTTGAGCAGAGTACAGAAATCAGAGGTCTGATGAAGGATGGTCACATCAAAAACAATACTCCTAATTAACTGTTAGGTGAAGTACAAACTTTAGACACACTGCAATTTTGTGTATTTCCAGTTATTTTTGGAACAGTACATGCACTCACAGTCTTCCTATGTGAAAGATGTGAAAGGTCAGTGATGTAAGCTTTTGTAGCGTCCAGCTCTCTCTGAGTTTTCCACTTGTGATTCTGACTTGGTCTGACCTTTAAATGAAACCGAGAGATTCATAAGTTACTGGATGTATTTCCCATCTGTTTACATCTGTCAGGGCTGCCAGCATTTTGTGCTTGGAGAGTTTCACTTCACATTCATCCGTTATCACTCAAGCCCCATGAGTGTCTTTCTCAGTCAAATGTCACATTCTGCTTTTCGAAAAAAAGCATAGTTAGCAAACAACTTAACGACCATTTGGCATCTGCCTGTAACACTGGCAGTGGTAGCAAGGCACATGTTGCGAGGCAATATCATTGGCGTAGCTGCCCTAAACTGTCCTAAATGGGAATATTTTAGGCATACATTTGAATTTCTGGGATATAAGCTTCTGGAACTTGTTAGAATGGACGTACTGATATGTGAATTACGGGCTGATGCTGATACACTGGAAAAACAGCACTTTGAATTTGCTTGATTAAAATGATTAAAAGCAAACTTAAGGATAGCAGTTATGTTGATATGACATATTTTGTTTGTTTGCAACCATTTAGCATATTTTAATTAAGATCCGTTTTATTTTTAATTTAGGAATGCATGAATTGTGGGCCAAGGTTGCTATCTAATGTTTTTCTGTTATGGGAATTGTGGGCTGATATCTGGAATTTTTTAATAAGGATACGCCAATATTGGAATTATGTGTCGATATCTACTGTTTTTCATAGGGATGCAGCTATATTGAAATTGTGGACTAATCTCAATATCTAATGCTTTTCATGTATGTATCTGCCAATGACAATCCTGAATCTACCTGAATTAACGTTACAGAGAAATACAGCATTTATATTTATTGGATTAAAAATATACTAAAAAGGAATAACATAGACATTTCACCACAGTAGTCCAGAGTCACCTGATCATTCTGCATTTCTACAGTACAACGCATATGTAATTAAATATTGATTTGAAATATCAATCAAATCTAAACATCTATACAATGCAGATCATTTTTTTGTGCTCCCATAACTTTTCATCTACCAATACTGATACATAAACATTTAAAAATGTAGAAATTGGGACTATATTACCTGGATTACATTACATGTAACTTTTATTTGTAAAGCTTTTCAAATTCTGTAAAATTACTAAAATGCAAAAATAGGCCTGTGTCACGTAACATTTTGCTCATCTAGATCACAGTAAATATATCACCAAATATCTGTTCGTAATACTGGTCAAACATCTGCCCAACATGGTTAATTATTCTAAGTAGTTATCTTCCAATACCAATATGATTCTGACATCATTGAGGATCCTCACAGCTCCTGTGAAAAATTAAAGAAGCAGGCTGATTGACTACTGGATTAACCTCTTAAGTCTTTAAAATCCTAGAAGTATTACATGCTAAGGCTTATTATTCACTAACTACAGGGACATGAATGCCAACTGGCTGAGCTATTCTTAGGTTATAGAAGTGTGTAATAAAACTTTGGTTCTTTCATTTGGCCCTGGCCATTTAAGGGGTTAAGGGAAAAATTGTGTAATTGGATTTTTTTATCAAACTACTCCTTTAAGTCATATTATCTTGGAAATTGCACCCGTGGAATTTTGTCTTATTTACAATAGTGGCCATTTCTGGGTTATTATGTACATGTAGGCCTTGTCATCATCTGTGTTCTGCTTCATCTTCCGCACTCACAGAGGTCTAGTCTGGGAGCAGCCTCCGACAAGCTGCAATTAAGTCGATCTAGACACTAGAATTTTAATGGGCCCACCATGCGTGAGGGGGAATGCATGCAAACAGCCCACTTTCGCTCTGACGCTTGCACGTATGTAAATGTGATTAACAACAGAATTATCATAATTACCATCCGCGGGTGATCACAGCGGCGTGACAAAGAACAGCCGAGATTGCCAAGCGTTTCCAATGACAAGCTTCAATTTTTTTCCTGTTTGCTTACACCTCAAGATGCCTCTCCAAGACGACCCTGCGATAGTTTAACAAGTGTCGGTGCGCTAAGTTCACACATGGTGAGACGTCTGTCAGGAGTTAGTGACACTTCATGAACTTATGCATGTGAAAGTTGTCTGTTTGCTATTCTCGAAAACAAGGAACCAAACCGAAATGTATGCTCTGCTGCCTTTGCCACAGGGGATGGGACTAATAAAAGAGATTCCAATTTAAAGTATTCCAGCTTTGCAGGGTGTTGGCTGATCAATTATATGGAGGCTCCAAAGCAGCCATTCCTCAGCGTATAAATGGAATTAATTGGTTAATGTTTACAAGGTTAGCGTGCTTTGCACCTCCAGCTACTTAAACTGTAAATGTTATTATGTTTTATTGCCGCTTTCACTATAGATCGTAATAAAGTGGCTCGTTCTGAAAGGGAATCTAATGGCACTGAAATAATGTGTCTTTCCCTGAAAATGAAAAGCGTTCAAGGCATAGATAAAACTGATAGTTGCCCATTAAGGTTCACTAAGCAAAAGTTCATGGTTAAGTCCTTCAACAATGCCTGCGCACAAAGCACTGACTGAATGCCATGAAAAAAGACTTTAGGCGTAGAATTAGATAGTTTCTATGTATTTCATGGATTTATGAATAAGCATTAGGCTGGGTACAGTAATGTTGACTCAAATATTGCTGAATAGTGTAACATGATACAATAAAGCCATTGTTATATT